TTTTATTTATTTATTTGGAGTGACAATAAAGTGGCCAGCTTTCTTGAAAAATGTCATGAAAGTGATGTATACACTACAGGTCTGCAGCCATACAATAGCTTTGAACAGACTGAATTTAAGTCACTATTCACTATTTATGTATGCAACTCTCAAATATGACTGATTAATATGATAGTGTTTGGTCCACAAGAGATGACATTGGATGTTATTGACTTCTTCGGTGCCATTTAATTTTTGAGTGCTTCAGAAGCGACAGAATAGTCACATGTATTCTTTGCCATTTTATAGCTATAGAATTTATTTATTTAGTTAGTTAGTTAGTTAGTTAGTTAGTTAGTATGTATGTATGTATGTATTTATGTATGTATTAACATAACAAAACAGGCACCAAAATATGTAACCCGATAAAAAAAAAAATTATAATAAAAATTTAAAAACATTCAGAGGATGCCAAGTACAGATTTACAATAAATGTGCCATTCTGCATTTGTGAATAGTAATTTATAATTTGCAATTTTTAATATTTCCAGTACTTTTGTCTTCATGCTCAAATAGTTTCTTTCACATTCAGTGTTACAGTATCTTTAATTTCATGTAACTTTAAGGCATAAGGAGTCCTCGGTTATATAAAAAAGGATTATTATTTCCCCTATTCAATAAACTGGGAGAATAAAATGTTACTTGGGTAGTTTTGTATAAAAGATTATGTAAAAATTTTTTAGAAAACAGGTAATGTCCTCCCAGAAAATTACCAGTACATTTTCCGTTAAATTTACAGACATTTCCTTCAACCCTGAAACACAATGCATTGGATAAATATTCAAAATATGGGTAAAATCGATACTGAAAATTACTTCATATTAACAGTATTAACAGTACACTGGGTCATTTATTTTTTTCTTAGAGTGTAGTTTTATAGTGAAGCAGCTAATACAAGGTATTGCAATATAGGATATGATTCAGAAACCATGGGTGCACCATAGATATATGATATATCATCTCACTGGTCTACAACACATTAGCCCTCATAGTAACCTATGTCAGTATAACCTACAAACACTATCACGCATTCAGATATTTAGCTGTCTGGAAACCTTGCCCTAAATCCCAACAATTTCAGTACAACTGAATGTTTAGCTACATATATCACATTCTCGATGTGTTCACTGATGTTTATAAATGTCAATGTCTACCTATAGTCTGCTCTTACCTGATCCTCTGTAGATACAGAACATAGGTTAAGCCTCTTTGCTTGATTGCCACCTCCTGAAAACGATACCTAAAATCTGCCTGTGCTTCTATTACACACTTCATTGGCTTTTCTTCCATCCCCTACACTTGAAGACACATGTTTTTGTGTGATAAGCGAAACAAACATTCCCTACAGTCATTTTACCAAAATTACATTCCCAACATAATATCTGTATTACCTTCTGCTAAACATATGACTGTGTCTATCTCTCTATACTTGTCTTATACTAACCATAGGCCACCAGTATGCCCCTGACCTCTGATCGGTGCAATATATCTCCCAAATGTCGACTGGAGGGGGTAGTAAATGGGACAGGCAAGCATCAACCCTCAGGGCTTTAGGGCCTGCACTGGCTGTCATTATAGACTATGAGATGCAACATTTGCTCTGAAAGTATATGCATTTATATAGACAGTACAGACATAAAAAAGACAATTGAATGTGAGATCTACATCACCAATATAGAGACCACATCTTTACACCCAACTGAAGTAGGTGGCTTTATTATTGTGGGTGAGGTTTTCTATGTAATCCAAACCTTTCCTAATGTCTTCATCAGTTATTGGATTCTGTGGCTGGAAGAGTAGGTTCAGTGTTGGTGGGTTTGACAAATAAAAACAGATGTTTTCCTAAAAAAAACACACAAAAAAAAACATCTGGCTTGGTGTGGATCAGTGTTTGCTTTGGTTAGTGAGGGATAGATAGAGCTTTGAAGTCTACAAAAGATACAGGCCTAAACCAATACACTTCAGAAAATGGTGTTGATCTCAGATTCAGTATTGTTGTATTATCCCTAAATGAAATGCAATTCCATATCTTAGGCATGCTTAAGAAATGCAAATATCCTCCCCTCTACACCCTCTCTCTCTCTCTCTCTCTCTCTCTCTCTCTCTCTGTTGGAAGACAGTGTAAGATCTTTATTGACAGTTTTGATTATGCTTAAAGCTTGGAATTTCTGCTTTTCTAAACAATGAACACTTTTAGAGGAAATAATTTTCATCTTTAATACTAAAAAATCAGTTTAGGACAATAACTATAATGATAAAGTTTTAACAAGAATTCTAATTCTATAAAAATAGTCCACACCACAACTATAACAATAATGACACAGAGACACAATGCGGTTGGAATCACTTTCAGAATGATTTTCCCCAGCTGATAAACAATAAAAACATCAACAGCCAATCAGAATTCATCCTGCTTTAAAGAACGCGAGCATTTAAAGCGGCAGATGACATACAGTAACTGCAGCATGTGCTTATAATAAACATAACAATATTGTGTGTTGGTGTAGACACCAATATAGTTATTGCTTTTGGTGTGAACTGGCCTTAACAGCTAAATAAACAAAATACACGGCCAGTTTGTGTATAAAAAGTAAAATATGGAATTTTCTGCTTTTTTAAACAATGAACAGCTTCCCTTTTTAATACTAAATCAGTAAGAGCTAAAATAAACCAAATAAATGGCTACAGTGTGTTTAAAATGTAAATGATTTGATATGACCCTGAATGAATAAATTATATTGTTCAAATATAATATGAGTGGTTTGATTATATCATTTTCCCCTACAGTATAAAATTCAAGTTCATTTCTGGGCTTGAAATTTTGTGGAGACAAGCAGCTGGACAAAAGAACAGCCAAATTGCTGACTGAAGACCTCTATTACCTTCCCAGCTCAGCTGTTACTGATTGAAAAGGAAATGGAGCTTCATGTCACTGAGCGCTGAGGATCTGCTGAAGAGGGCATCTCAGGCTTTAGATGCTGTGAAGGTTAATGCAGAAATGCTAATAGCAGAACAAAACAATTTGTCTGTCTTTATGCAAACTGTCATTATGCTATGGGAAGAGAGGCCAGCTGCACATCTTTCAAGTACATTTGAGAGACAACTTGACAGATTCAGAACTGCTATTTTCATCATGTAAATATTTTTCTTGTTCTGATTTGCCACTGACTCAAGTGCATAATAGTAATAAATTATTATTATTATTACTACAACTACTACTACTACTACCACCTGTGAACCATCTCAGTATGCATCAAAGCATGTGCCAGAGACTGTGTGCATGCATTCATTCCCAAATGGGTGCTTTATCTTGATTATTTTTCATCTATCTTTCCGCACCACAAAACGATTTATGTCACTCTACATTTGCATAAGGTCTTGGTGTTTACTATTCTATTTTCATGCACTGAGCTTAGATGTCTTTTGTATCAGAATTACACTTTCAGCCTTATGGTATATGAAATTACCTGCATTATTCAAAAGCACAAAATAAAAAAATATCATCCCAAGCAAAGAGGGTAGACAATGACAAGTGAAGCCAAGTTACTCCAGTGACTCTGCAATGAAGAGAGGTAGAACGATGAGGTATTCTAAGAAAACAACTGTTTAAAAGATGGATATAGGAGATTATGTGCTAATTTTATGGATGACCATTAGGACCTAAGGCTCCTAGACCCACATTAAAAATATATTTCCCATTTCCATTTCAGATTAAGTTCTTAATCACAATAGTCCTGCTCTGGGTAAGCTTTAAATAAAAGAAATGAAAATCTCATCAATTATAACCTCCGTAGAAGGTTAATTTAAAAGATTGTATGGTTGTTTCCTGGATTGATTTGGATTAACTGACTGAGGTATTGCCCAAGCAATAATACTAATATTAATATATAAGCTCAATATTTTCTACTGTATTAGAGAGATTAATATCTGAAATACTTGAATTATGTACTGAATGTGATAAATGATTTAGCATGAGAACCATCGATGATCAAGCCTATGAACCGTTTAAGGTTAATTATTTTATAGGTTAGTTGATGATAGATATAAATTACTATTTAGAAACTATATCATCATTCACATTATTTATAATGTGATATAAGTGTCAGTGACAAATAGGAATGGCAGACAAATCGAAATTTTTACAAATCGAATTATTTTACAAATCTTTTACAAATCTTTTATAAATCGTATTGTTCCAAATGTAGGCCTAGTATTTGTGTTCATGTTGGTTTTATACATTTTTGAAAAATCTGTAACAGAACATTTTGATTTAATGACTCTTAAAATGTAAAGTGATTAAATAAATCATAAAGTAATAAAATGTGTTCCATTCACCTTAAACAGGTTTGTCTCACCCCCCCCAATAAATAAATACATACATACAAACAAAAATCATGAATATCGTGCTAATACATTTGCCCTAAACCTTTCACAAAAATTAACATTAACATTAAGAATTAAAAAAGAAATAAAAATTAAATTATTTTAAAAACAAAAAAGGAGTCTTCAACGGTCTTTTCTGTGATATATTTTTTTGTTTTATTCCTTTCTTGTAAAGAATTACCCAAAATATATATTGCTAGAAATAAAATAAAATTAAATAAAATTGAATGAAATTAAATAAAATAAAACAAAATAATAAAAATAAAATAAAATAATAAATATTATAAAATATTTTATACTGCTTCCTTGGGTCTGTAAGGATAAAAACCCTTCTCTAGAGAAAAGATTATGTTGATGAATGCCTTTAACGTGATCTGCACACGTCAGACGTGCCTTATATAACTTGTGAGAATGTGTCTAGGCAGATCAGAAAAGTACGACGCAACATTTTCACGCTGCAGTGCGTTCTCCATAGCCTGACCGCTACATAAGGACACCCGAGTTCCCAACTTTGTCCCACGGTGTGAGAAGCAGACAGCGGAGGCGTGGTCTCTGACGTCACTCGGGCTGAGCCGTACTACAGCACTAGTCTGGCTGGATGTCTGACTCAGCCACACAGGTTATTTGGGAATATATTTTAAACGCATGTTTTAACTAAACAGACCATATAATGCTCGCTCGTTCCTCTTGCTTTGGACAACGCGCATCTTGTATTTTGGGCGGTTTGGGGAAGTGCGACAGGAGGTAAGTTATAGTAAGCAATATCACGCGAGTCGAGTTTCTGCACGCTGTACACAAGTTGGCACTGTCCCAGTCACGCGCTGTAAATCAGACATGTAGTCTACATGTCATTTTGCATTGAATAGCTCAGCGACTGATTAACACACAGGTGATGTGATGCTATGCATGCAGTACAATGCTTTTGCATATTAGCTACAATCCAATAATGCAGGCGTTATTATTTTATTGAAATGCAAAAGTTGCTCTTTTAATGCAAGGATTATAATTTCAAGTTGATTTGAGTTAGAATTTGTGAAACTAACTGCAAAATGAATGCTTTCAGATTTTAAGGTCTTTATCAAGAAGATGAACAAGGCTCTTGCTCTGGCATTTGATCAATAGACTGGCAATGTCTATGTTAATATCTTTCTGACCACACCTGCTAATGGACTGAGAGGTTACTTCAATAAAGGTTTCATTTCTATATGTGGACTAGTGCCAACGCTGCAGAAAAGCCCATCGTCCCGATTCCAGGTCACTGTGTCCCTGAATTTGTGCTACCACTGTCCTGCACCCTCGCCCGTCTGTTCACCCCTTGCTTTATGGGGCTGTTTTTGCTTCCTCTGACCCTGTTTTGTATCTTGCCACAGACTGCTAGAATTCGCTTCAAATAAATTTGTACTTTTTATGTATGGATCAAATCTAGAACTGCGCAATAACGGCCTCTGCCCAACATACGGTACTGTTGGAGTTTTAACCCTTGCAAGAAACCCAGCTGAATGTCAGTAAGCTCTCAGGATTTAACCCAAGAACTTTCCAAGTGAGTTCGCACTCAGGATTTAAACCAAGAACTTATATCCAGGTCAGTTTTAAACAAGCATCAAACATCACAGAGCTCATGTAAAGAACAAATCATGAGCTCTGACAGTTTCCAGTACCGTGCACTGTTTGAGTACAAGCAGGAGAGGGGTGACGATATCTCCCTGCAGCCTGGAGATCTCCTCACAGTCAGTAAGATGGCACTGCTGACATCCGATTACCAGGAGGGTGATGAGAAGTGCCCAAAAGGCTGGCTGCATGGCACCAATGAACGCACAAAGGAGAAGGGCAAGTTCCCCGGCACCTTTGTGGAGTATGTTGGGGTCGTGAGGATAGGCCTTACTTCAGGGAAGCCCTGGCCGAGACCTGTACCACCAACACCTGTAGGGCCCCAGCCCCCAGGGGCCGCTGCTTCAGAGGGTGAGTGTTACCATTATGTTTATTTAACATGCTTTATATAACAATAAATAAATAAATATACAATGATATAAAATTATAAATATAAATTAATAAAACGTATATGTATTTGTACTTATATAGTTGTAAATTGTACTTAAAAAAAAAAAAAAAAAAAAAAAA